GATATGCTATTTTTTCTTTTATATCTTTATTTTGTCATGTGATTTGTAGCTACATACGATGTTTGTTTTGATATCTGTACATGTTAATGTAACTGGTGTAAACCGTATTAACATAAAATAAAAAAAAAAAAAAAAATACATATGTAGAAATGAATTTGAATACTCAAAAATCACTATAATAGTTATACCTCTAAAACATTTTGCTACCTCTTTCTAATATGTAGAGCGAAAGCGAGAAAGATAATCAAGTACCTAAGAAGAATAGTAAATTATTTTCAGAGAAAGTTTTATTAGTAAGATCTATTGCATATGGCGAATCTATAGCAATAAAGGGCGCATTCGTTGCTATAAAGGCAATTTTGTTGCTGAAAGAAACAAGTCTATTGCTGAAAGGGGCAAGGGACGGAACTTTATTGCTAAAAATAAAAAGTGTATTGCAACAGGAAAGGATCTAATTCTATAAGTGGCGAGTCCATTGCGATTAGGGATAAGGTCATTGCTATAAGTGGCTAGTCTATCGCAATAAGTAATGAATATATTGCAAAGAGGATTGATACCAGATCTGTATAGGAAATATATGTTGCCATAAGGTCAAATCTATTGCCATAAAGAGCAAATCTATCGCCAAAGTTTTATTTCTACTGAAATAAAGGTCAAGACTAATGCTACAAAGAGCAAAGCTATGGCCAAAGTTGCGTTGCCATTGCAAAAAAGGGCAAGTACATTGCGACAAAAAGCAAATCTATTGTGATAGTTGCATTAATATTGCAAAGGTCAAGTCTATTGCTACATAGAGTCAATCTATTGCCAAAGTTACGTTTCTATTGCAATAAAAGTTAAGTCTATTGCTACAAAGAGCAAATCTATGGTCAAAGTTGCATTACCATTGCAAAAAAGGACAAGTCTATTGCTACAACTAGCAAATCTGTTGCCAAAGTTACATTTATGTTGCAATAAAGATCAAGACTATTGTTACAATTAGCAAATCTATTGCTAAAGTTGCATTTCTATTGCAAAGGTCAAGTCTATTGCTACAAAGAGCAAATCTATGGTCAAAGTTGCAAACCCATTGCAAAAAGGTCAACTATATTGCTAAAGTTGCATTTCTATTGCAATAAAGGGTCAAATCTATAGCCAATATAAAGAAAACCATTTAAAACTTCGCTCTACATACATTATATGCTAATTTCGGGTCGGGTAAGGCCACATTGTATCACAAATCGACGACACACAAACATCTAAACATTAAAAATGAATTTATTACACAAGCGAGTTTATATATATCTATTTAATTTATACATTTAGAGAACACACTGTTAGGTATAGTAATGGTAATTATCAGTATATAATATTATAAAGCTGAAGAGTTTTTTTTGTTTGTTTGTTTGAACGCGCTAATCTCCGAAATTACTGGTCCGATTTGAAAAATTCTTTCTGTGTTGGATAGCCCATTTATCGAGGAAGGCTATAGGCTATATATATTTTGCAGCCTATTTACTGAAATAAATATAATATTTACTTAAGTACATAAATTATATTTTAATATTTTTGATAAAAACCATTACTATAAAACTCTCACATTGTATTTACAATACTAATACGTAACCCTTAATTATACATATATTTAAACATTAATACATACATATTTAATCAATAATAAATTCTACAATTGTATAATATGGCCAAAAAAAAATTAGTAAAATTCTTCGAAACATAATCACGATCATTTAAAACATATTTGCTCTAAATTCAAAATTATATCATAATAATGAATTTTAAAAGTTGCTATTAATATTTTTCTAGCGAAAATAAAGTGTCAAAATAAAATTAACTATAGATTTGTAAGTCAAAATATTTGTTATTCAAAATAATTGCATTTAACCCCTCGAGCGTCCTTATGAGCACCAGGTGGATCATAAGCAAAATGCTCCATGCTGCTTTCTCTTTTATAAAATCTATTATTAATGTTTTATTTTTTTTACTGTATTTGTTTTATTTCTATTGTAATGATCATTGTTTTCGTGTGCCAATGGCCAAATAAATGCATATTCTTTCTTTATTTCTTTCTTTCTCCAAATGTCACGTGTGCACCCATTGGATCATAAGGAACGCGGACGCTCGACGGGTTCAGTTTCGATCTAATACAAGGTGTAGTTTTGAAACCGTGACATTTCTCGGGGGCATGTCACAGAAGTCATAAAGGTTCAATGTAAGAGAAAGTTTCGGGCCAATAGTTAAAATAGGTCAACCTCGTCAAACATTTACGTGAGTAAGCCGAAAACATAGTAATTAATTTACTATGTCTATGTTTTAATACAATTTTGAAGGTAACAAACCCAATACTTCAATGTACCGGAGGTTGTCGATAACAGATTTTTAATTTGCGCCTTGTTTAAATGCTGAGTTTATACATACATAAGTTTTTACTTACAATAATAATGTATTCAAGGTGTAAAAATATTACAGGACTTTTACAGCGATCACCGGAGACCGCTCTCCACTTCAGTGGTTTTTTTATATAAATTATATGCTGTTTTAAACCAAATTACATTATATACAACATGTAACGTAATTAACGCACACCCTCAAACACCCCAATTAGAATATTATGTCATAATCATAATACATACACTCAATTTTTAATTTAACATGTATATGCATCCTTACTGGTCTTGTCATAAGGTTTATTTTTCTTTATTTTGTATTGAATGATATAATTTGTATGAATACAAATAAAACTGCGATTTTCAAAGTCTTATTGCTTTGACTTACGGTCCATTTCGATTTGTTTTAACAATACAGGGTCAATATGACAATAATTTCCGTAGTTTTAATTACTTTTGGGATAAAAAATTACCTATACTAAAAATTCTATAAATCGATTCAGTTAACGATTCTGAACAAACTATTTTCAGGATGTGAGTTATTTAAGTTACATGTTGTATATATTTTTTCAGAAAAATCTTGTAATTTTTTCCACCCTGCACCTACATAAAAAAAATAATGAAGACATTAGATTTCAATAAAAAATCTACATTTAAATGAACATTAAAATAATGATTTAATAGAAAAAAAAAACATTCAACTAGACTAAAAAATATATTTAAAACTATTGGTAGGACATATCTTTAAATTTTTAAAAAAATTACTGTATCAAGATGAAGGCACTAACCAAATTGTATTTTAAACATACTGATATTTAAAATCTCGATTTACTAACGAAATAGAATTTAAGAGATGACGCTGGCAGAGTAGAGTACATGTGTAACCACCACTACTCTTCCCGTGGGTATTGTATACCCGACTAAGGGCCTGGTAAAAATAGGGATTTAGAAAGAAAAGAAGAAAAATTTTACTTAATATAACGTCATTTATTGGATTTACAGAATTTATATAATTTAAAGGATTGAAAAGGTAATGTTACGCTGGTTTGGACATGTAGAAAGGATGGATGAAAGTAGAGTAACGAAGGAAGTATACAGAGCGGATATGAATGGGGCCGTCGGTAGAGGGCGCCCTAGACGGACATATAGTGACCAGATTTGGGATATATTAAAGACGGGCCAAATTAGAAGTATCCCTTAAAATCTCTTTCGCTAAAACAATTGAATTCAAAATAATAATAAAAACATATTTATTTAAAAAATTCATAAAACCCCACATTTTCTATTTCCTATGGCACATTTGAAAAAGAAAATTATAGAAAAAAATATCATTATCAATTACTATAATATTTTCGTATAATATAATTATATATTTAAGCAAATTGACTCATCTATAATCTATATTTACTTAAAACTAAAAAAAAGGTAAAATTTTTCCGCGTTTCAACATTTGTCATCTGGAAAATAAAAACAAAGAAAGAATATAGATATAGATAGAAAAAGTAATAATTTACGCATTTTTTATTAAATATTTTTTTTGGGACAAGCCCGCCACACCCTCCCAAAACCGCTGCAACTCCTGTGCACCAGGATCTACAGTAGATACAACCATGAAAACACCGGAACATTGAAGTCCGGCGCGTCACAGGGACAATAATAACTGTCTTGGTTCCCGCAACGAAGAATCAGAAGATATTATAGGAGAAGAAGAAAAAAAAGATAGTTTCCACTTCCCTCGGTGAAGTCCGGCGCGTCCCAGGGACATGAATAACTATTTCTCATCAATCCAACTAAATATGTTTTTAAAATAACTATCGTAAGATACTAAATTAACTAAACATCGGAGGTTACTCATGTAAATATACTGAGAAAAGATCTAGTTTCGAACCACAGAGGGGTTCTTCCTCATGAGCAGCGTGCGCGGTCGCGGCGATGTCGCGCAGCTCACACGAAACTAGTAGAGCTTTTCTCAGTACATTCACGTGAGTAACCCGCGATTTTTAGTTAATGAACAAATCATTTGTTATTATAATGTTATAATTAATTGTTGCTTTGAAAACAAAACTAAAATTTAAGACTCAAACACAAAAAATCTCAAAATAAATTACGCAATCAGGGAATCGAACCCAAAAACCACATGACACAATAATGGTTGACAGAATATTTTTTTATGGAATAAGAGGCAAACGAGCAGACTGATGGTAAGCGATCAGACCCGCCTATGGACACCCAGTTGCAGCAGTTTTTTTTTCCAACTTTTAAGTGTGGGAGAGCCATGCTTCGGCACGAATGGGCCGGCTCGACCGGAGTGATACCACGGCCGAGCAGAAAACCGACGTGAAGCAACGCTTGCGTTGTGTTTCGTCGTGTGAGTGAGGTTACCGGAGGCCCAATTACCCTCCCCTTCCCCAATCTTCCCAATCCCTGAATCCCCAACGATCCTCAAACTCCTAATCCCCAAAAAGCCGGTAACGCACTTGTAACGCCTCTGGTGTTCCAGGTGTCCATGGGCGACGCCGATTGCTTGCCATCAGGTGATCCGTCTGCTCGTTTACCGGCTTATGCCATAAAAAAGTGGGGATTATATTAATAAATGATTATTTTAAAGGACTTACCTTACTTCATGCTCATGTTACTATAGATGTCAAATTCATCCATTCCGTCAGGTTCAAAGGCTCGAATCTGCTCGAACAGTTCGCTGTCCATGAAACTATCAGTTTGGGCCGGTGTAGCCGCACTGAAGTAGCTGTGTGGTGATCATTGTCCATTTTGTGGAGTGGTGATTATTTTGTGAAGTGGTGATTAAGTTTTTTTTTGTTGTCAAGTGTCGTGTTTTTTTTTAAAAAAGAGTCGTATTTGTCGGATTTCGAAGACCAGCGGATGCACCAATCAGGGTAATCGGGAAAGAAAAGAAAATGCAACACGTTAATGAAAACAGAAGACGGTCGTTGTAAAAAAATAATAAAAAAAAACCTACAACCGTCGCCAAAAAGGCAGCACAGACAAGACGCAGCTGTAGTGTATGATACACGAAAATAAAAAAAATTGAAACTTGATTTAAAAAAAATAACAAAAAATTAAAAAAGTTTGTATAACAAAAACACGACCGTCTGTGTTGCATTTTCGCGATGGGTTTTGCGTTTAGAAAAAGTCATTTGAAAAGTATTTTTATAATTCAAAAAACATGTAAGTAGAAAAATAATACAAATCAATGTACAACTATTGGCAAAAATGGACGCTCAAAGACTTTCTCCAAACAAAAAATGAAAACTCATAATTTAATATTTCATCACATATAATAATACAAATACATCGATTCAAAACATACATACAGGGCGATCAACATCGTAAATTGTCATGTGTAGATAAAAATTGATTAGGTATGGTATAGCAAAACTTCTACCCTCGAAAACTGAGCGAGTGCCGTCAAAAACTAATTCAGCACAAACTTTCGTTATTCCGAAAACACATTTAAAATTTTGACTAGTTCTCCACAAGTTTCAAGTTCGAAAAGGCTTTTTTTTAAAGGAATTTGAGCCAATTCCTTTTCGAGTTTTCGAAGTTTTGAAAGACCAATAAGTTTATTGTCTAACCCCACACATAATTATTTCTTAAAAATGCTTTTTTATCCATTTTTAGCGAACATTTAGTTTACATACATGATCAGAGATCGTTTGCATACATAATACAATTATGGTACATAATACATATGAGTAAAACTTGCCCACTTAAACCAAATATCGAAGGGAAAACCCGATTTTATTTTATACTTGATTAATGAGAAAATTTGGATAGTATTGTCATATTACGTGTGGAGTCGACAAAGAGATTTTTTTTATAGATTTTTCCTATCAAATTACGCCTACCTAGAAATAATAGTCACATCCATTTAAGATAATATTACAATAATAATATAATAATATAATAATAATAATTCACATAAATTCGTTAATTTTATTAACTATTCAACCAACCAATCGGAAACGCAACACCGACGCGTGTATCCGAAGGACTTTTCAAAAATTAATCCCCACAAAATAAAAACACTAATCACCATCACAAAAAATTTTGGCCAATTTTTTTTACAACAAAAAATATCATTAAAAATTCCTTCGGACGCGACGGTGGAAATTTTTTATTTAATTTTTTTTACAATTAATTGACCGATTCAATTTTCTTATACATACAACATTCAATATTTTCCTAGCCTAGAAATTTATTTGGTTATTTCCATATTTTCAAAAAAACAACGTTTCATATAGTAACACCTCTTAACAATCAGATGAATACATAATTCAGACACAGTCCCTTGAAACAACGACTGCGGCACCTGGCTACTATACACTTACACGCAGGACACACACACATTGACACGAAGGACATCTGTCAATTTCTTTAAGTCCAGTAACGTGGTAACCCATTACACACGCACACATAAATACACCACTGACATTTTGGTGCTTCAAATATTTGTAAGCGACATTATGTCCGCCTTTTTTTAAACGTCCTTGATCTAGAGATGTTATGACATTACTGTTGTGTGAAACTGTTTGGTTATTTATTAAACCTAAAGAGGTTTTACTATATGAAGTAAAAAATAGCACGCCATCTTAAATTTCGTACATCGTCCCTTTATTACAGACATAGCCTAAACACATTATAGTATGCAAAACTCCATAGTTAGCAGTAGAAAATTGAAATCACTTTATTGACAATGAAGGCAACCGATATTGAACTGTATTGCGATGTGATAAGTTCCGTAATTAATAGTGAAACAAGTGATTTGACAGAGACCGTGCAGCAGCACTCTCTGATAAACCTGAACCTTTTATACTGCGACCTCCAACCCGCCTGCCTGCGGAGATTATGACAAACCCTCTTATGTATAGGAGGCTCATAGTGCAGCAGTGTACTGTCACCCGCTGTAGACGATACGAGTAGTAAAGTGCGCGCCAAGTAATTACATGCACATCGGTCGCCATCATAGTAAACATAGCGTGTCAAGTCTAACATTACATACGGAGTATATTACCTACGTTTTGAGCATAATTTTTGTGCAAAATTCAACTCTATTGAGCTTTTTATACGTCATGTTATAGTTTCAACTTTGATCATGGTTTGCCTTTGGTAATTTAGACGATTATTTTATTCGTATGTAGTGGAGGACACGTATACACACAACTAGACATCAAGTTAAGCAAAGCCAGTATTGACTGATAGTTCGTAGGGCGCGTCGCGTTCTGCGCGCGCCTCAAGGAGCCATCAGACCACCAGATACGGAGCCGCGGAAGACTTAATGGGTTGCCGGGGCTCCGACTCGAAGTGCAGTAGTAGGAACGGGGTGGTTTTTTAGTCAGTAAGAGTCTGACACTCCCTCTTGCCTCACCCGGGCGGGAGACGCCATAGGATGATTTTCTCCTCTCAAAAAAAATAATTAACTGACAGTTGACTGAGATCATACGACGCTTGACCATGATGTACTGGTCTCGGTAGACAGTATAATCGGACCGTCGAAGGTGCGGATATTCATACAAAAGATTTAAGAGTGGGAGAGCCATGCTTCGGCACGAATGGGCCGGCTCGACCGGAGTGATACCACGGCCTCATAGAAAAAAGACGTGAAACAACGGTTGCGTTGTGTTTCGTCGTGTGAGGTTACCCGAGGCCTAATTATCCCCCTCTCTAGTGTATGTGATCCGTCTGCTCGTTTATCGGCTTATCCCATAATAAAAAACAAAGCGAAGCCACGATATACTGGTTAATTATTAATTATACTTCGATATTTTGCGTTTTTTTAGATTATTTAGACACCACTGACAAACAATGAAGAAAAACATCGTGAGGCAACCTAGGCTTACAATTTCCAATTGTAAGTTTGAAATTGCATCGCATTGAGCAAGCGTGGTGATTAATGCTCAAACCTTCTCCGTGTGAGAAGAGGCACGGTCAACAGTGGACATTTATAAGCTGATGATGAGTAGCTGTGTGTACAATACCGATATACAGTACTTAGGTGACACTTAGTGTCAGCCACGCGATATTTTTTCAGTTAATTACTAATCACATTACCGGTTTTAAAGAACGACAGAGATTAATTTTAAAAGCAGTTACAGCTATAACGAATTTTCAATATTACGGTAAAAATTATATTAAAAAAAACATAGCATAAACGCCCCGTTTTCTGCCTATATCTCTAAACTTAGAATATAACTTAAAACAATGTCATGTTTAAAAACTGTACTTAGTTTAAAAACTAAAACTAAAATAAAAATAAAAGTTTTTTTAGTAAACATAAATTTAAATTAGCACCGAATTTATACAAAGAAAAATACTATGAAGAAAAGTTAATCACAATTTTGTTATGTTTAGTTTTAATTTCTTATTTTTTTTGTTTTACTTTTACGTGTATCATGAGCAGTATTTTGAACCAATCAAAATAAGTATGATAAAGTAAAATTGTTAAAAATACAAAAAAAAATTAAGAAAAGTAATAAAAAAGAAAAAAAATATTTATTTTTATTACTTTTTTTTATAATTACCTAAGCCTTAACTTATTTTAATTTAAAAGAAGGAAAGTTTTGTAAAATGCAATATAATGGACCCCATAGAATTAGTTTTTTAGTTTTTTTTTATTAATTTTTATAATTACATATTTTCTCAATTTTAATCTCAAATATTAAACAATTTTGTTAACTAAAAATCGCGGGTTACTCACGTGAATATACTGAGAAAAGCTTTACTACTCTGCGCCGCGACCGCGCACGCTGCTCATGAGAAAAAACCCCTCTGTGGTTCGAAACTAGTAGAGCTTTTCCCAGTATATTCACGTAAGTAACCCGCCATTTTTAGTTAATTCAGTATGTCTCACGATAGTTATTATAAAAAATATATATAATTTCATCGAAATATAACTCCAAACGTATAAGAAAAATAATTCTAAATCATATTCAAAGATATATTTTTGTTAGATAAAATTGCTTAATTAATTTTACGGCTTTGACTGCCAATAAAGATCTGTTGAAGGCAAATCCTCCGTTAACATCGGTCACCGGTGATCCCCGTGGCATTTAATGTGTACATATGAAAATTATTTTTTCTTTAAATTCCATCACAAAACGATTTTAATATTTGAGATTAACATTAAAAAAATAAGGAATCAAGAATAATCAGTCATTTAATTCTTATTTTTTTCGAGAATATATGAAAAAATATAATTAGAAATAGATTTTAAAAAATAAAAATAATACGAAGCGAAGGACGGCCTGATATTGACAAGATATTTCTTATTCATAAATATAAAATTAAAAATAGATTTTTAGAAAATTCACTACTTTTTTTTAATTGGATTTTTATTTTTTAACTTAGATATGGTTTTTTAATATGTAAAGATTTTAGAGTTTTTGTATATAGATAACATAATTTATTATTAATTGAAATTCGATTCCTATTCAATAAAATTCGTATAAACTTGATCAACAGTCATTCTCAGAATATAATAGATACACAATTTGAAATTGCACAATTTTTAGTTAATATAATTTTAAACGTATATATAATGTTATATTATATAATATATACAAATATATATTTTATTTATAATATAAACGACCAATTTAACATAACATCACGTTTTTTATCCCCGAAGGGGTAGGCAGAGGTTGTACATTATGCCACTGTACAATGTAACACCCACTTTTCACTATTTATGTTATGAGTCCCATGTAATAGGGGGTGAGCCTATTGCCA